TATGTTATACGGCAATTAAAAGCAATCAATTAACCGTAATGATTTACTCATTCCTAGTATTATGCTATGAGTGAGTCTCGTGTAAATCACACAACTCAATAAGAGGCTATATACTACTATATTGAGAGTAGAGTCGCCTTATCATTTTTGAGACAGTGTTTAAAGCCTCAGTGACTGGTTTAAAGCGAATGTTAAAATCATAAATTATCCATTACGTGGTTTCAACGAATACCGAGATTTGAGTGATTTGATTTTAGTTTCGGCAACAGAAGAATAAATAAAATTTGATGTTCTATCAATCGAATCAATAGTTCTTTTTAACATGATTTACTCAGTCAGTTTGTTCGTCTTTTGATCAATGTATTTAACTGTTTCGTTAGTCGCTCTGAATCGAAGCTGTGGCCACTCCTTGATATTATTCTGATTTTTAAGGTGCAATACAGTTGAGCAACATTTCAGATACTGAACTCGAAATTAATACCGATTTTGTAACATTAATTGAAAATTCAACCAAAATGATTTTCAGATACGAAACTGTACACTAAATGAAATACAGACAATCTGGATACGAAGCGCTCAAATGAAATACAACACTGAAGAAAATCAAAAATCAAATCACAATTAGTATCAATAAATTCAACAGAAAAACACTCAAATGCACTTATTTTTATCATTACTAGTCATTTCATCTAGTTACACTCTAACTTAGATTTTTTCAAAGGACGTTGTATAAACTAATATTGTTGGAATAAAATTGGAATTGTACTGAAAATGAGTTGACATGCCTAGCATAGTCCGCCGCTTCTCTATTTCATTGTTTTATCAATTCATGTGATTTGATTTTCTCAGAGATTGTTTTTAATTATATTTCTCCGTAAATATTAACTCCGACTTGATGAATGATAGAGATATAAATGAAGATTTCCGTCAATTTATGTTGTTCACCATCTCGGTGTTTATAGTTCCGTTGTGCGGTCGAAACTTCGAAATGTAACCGTTAAGTTAAACATGTTTAATAAATTATCTAGTATCTTCCATCTTAGTATCATCTTGTATTCGCATCTTTGTGTCGACTTTTTGGTTTCGATGCATACCACCCAAAATAAATCCGCCTAAGATTTTCCATGTGTTTCCATCACATTTTAGATACAAGAAGTTTTTGTATATTACATCATCAGAAAAAAAAAGTAGAATTTCGCTATTATGGAACCATCTAAAGTTTCTTGTTTGTTTAACATCCGTTTCATTATTTTTTTTTGCACTCGTTTGATTATTTAAGTTTTTCCTCACTTCACTCCCATGAAATTCGGTGTGCCAGTCAACGGACATCGCATAGATGCTATATCATTTTGTCTATGTGAAAAATTAATACGTTTAGTTAATGTTGATTGTCTGTTTGCATTTGTTTATAGTGGCTGCTCTATTTTGCTATTTTGAGTATATGGTATGGCTTCCATAGACACGGTCACAGACACACGAATTGCATATATAGTGGTATTTTACGATCACATTTAATTCACAAATAGTTTTCTTTAAGGTTAAGGCATGAAATATGGACACTATAAAAATGCCATTTTTCTCGCAAACTAATTGAAATGGACAAAAATAATAAAAAAAAGCAAACGAGATACGGATTTGAAATAAAAAGGAACAAAACCGGTCCAAAATATTTAGCTTTTAGTTCAATCAATACAAATCTTAACATGAGAAACCATATATCATGAATTCATTTTAAATAAATGTGCACTCTTGAGATTCTAAAAAAAGTCAGATGTTTTGCTTTCATATGATGTTAGCTTTTTATTTAGAATTCATTTGCTTTTAGAGAAAACAGCATTTGCATTGCGAAATTGCGCCGGAATTGCAATTTAGAGCACAGTAAAACCGAATCTCATATAAATCGTATGATATTCTATTTTCCGGAATTGAATTCCATTTAGATACACATGTTCTGTTGTTTTGATATTCTGTGTAATTAATTTTTATTTTTCATATGTTCAAATTTAATCGTTTATCATGAAATATATTTGAATAAATGAATTCACCTTCAACAAAAAAAAAATTGGCTCATCAAAATTTCACTTTAACATAAATTCCGATATAAATTGAAACGATCGTTCAGTTATCATTCTTTAAACCACTTCGAAAATAAAATGAACTTTATATAAATGTATTGTTCTATATTATTCCAGTATAATCCATAGTTATTAAATTTATCACATAAAATAATTGACGAATTTTGTTTTCATTTTCGTTTAAAATCGATTTAGAATTTAAAAAAACTTCATATTACAAATTCGTATTAGAAACGAATATTCGTTGTGTTCATTTCACGTACACGCACAAAATGTCCCGAAACTAATTGAACGTGTAATCTGTGGCTCTGCTACCGTTCGACTAAATTTAAATTCGTCCAACATAACTGTTTAAATGTGCCGACTCAAATAATTTTCAGAAATATTGTCGGAAAATTGCTGAATTTCGATGGTTGCTGACAAGATTTTTCCATTGCGCATGCTTTTTGCACGCCAATATCGACCCCTTTCGATATATACATATTATATGTAACCAGTTGAAAACACACGACACACTGTGTGTAGACGGAAAATGCTTTGAATCACAGTGCATTCAGCAAAATAAAAAGATGATGACAATTGTTGAATTTATTCTACTTAGATATGATGTGGGAGCCTGTTGATATCACACAAACCGCTATTATCTGAATTTATGTTGTATTTTCTCTCCTTCAATAGTAAACTTAATTCAATTACGTGTTATGAAAAGCATTCAATTTGTTTCATCAATGTGCTTTTCTAAAACGTATAATACATTGAATGGGACTAAGAAAAACTACTCCTATTTATCAAATGTTATGTGCCATAGCATTTTAGAACGATTAACATGAAAAATGAAATAGTTTTGCTAAACCGGTGAGTTATGCATTGTGTACGATTCTTTCTGATTGAAGAATTACATTTGGTTGAACACAAATATGACAACAAAGTTATTTATAGATGTTCTTATATATGCCATTAAAAAAAGAATAAATTTGACATTTGTCTAACCTATTTCTCATTATAATAAAAACCAATTCAATTTGAAGACGAACAAAAAACAACAAGGGAATAACTTTGATTCAAAATCAAACGAAAAGGATCGTTTTTTTTTCTCTGTCGTTCAAATAGAAAATGTTAAAAATTCTCATATAGTCACACTGAATAATATTATAATTCTTTGTTCCTCAAAGAGTGTGCTGCACGTGTAAATTTTTTTGCGTTAATACAGTCTTGAAGATTAAAAAACAATATTGCATGGGAGGTTCTTATCGCACATTTTTTTTGTAATTTCTTTGAAGACATTGGTATAGCTCGAATAAGCCACTTTCTGTAGAATAAATATCGTTGGTAATCATACGGCTAGAATAGACAATGAAAATGTTGAACGAATCAGTTAATATTAAATAAAAAAAAACCAAAGCACTTGTGTTTCGTGTGCCAATTCATTTCCAATTTTGGTAGACACGAAAAGTAACTTGAATAGCTTGTGACGTATTAAAATTGGCCTATCTGTGTTTTTTTCCATTCATTTACTCTTTTTTTGTGCTCCTCCGACGTACATTGTCCACAGCATGTCATTTATTTTAATAGAAAAAAAGGAGAAACCAATGAGCTGGGATTAATTATCGTAAAACGCACGAAAATGTCAATCAAATCAAGAACGAGGAAAGCTAAAGGCAAAATAGAAAACTGAGTAATAAAACAGTGAAAATGGAAATTGAAACAAAAATAAACAGATGCTGAAAACAGAAAATTCAACATATAAACTAAGTGAGACCGGTGCTGTTGTTGTTTACATTCTTCAATTAATTTTCTGGCACAAAACTGAGATTTGTTTGGGGTGGGAGTGTTTTATGCTTAATTCGAAAACAGTATACATCGTTTCCGTAGTACGAATTGTTAACAAACCAGCTGGTTATTTAGATTAAAGATTTTTGCCATTTAATCGACTAATTTTCTCGTATTCGTATCGTAGCATCATTTTTCAAGATTATACCGAACCGATCCATGTTCAAGTTCCATGCCAAATGACCGACGTTACATTATTTTCGATAAGATAGCAAAGTGGTCGTTCACATGCCGTTTTCATTCAATATTCTGCATTTTCTGTTAGCTTTGTGTTCATTTTTAGTTTAAAGTGTTTGCAATGCTCAACAGATTTCCACGTTCGATTTGATGAACGTGGTGTTTTAATACACTTCATATGAGTATACACGCACTTTGCATTTACAAATTATATTATCAATTTGAATATGAATGGAAAATTATGTTTTTGTATACTTTCTGTCTACATGATGTGTTTAAAATGTTTTTTTTGCACATTTCACTTCATTGTCAGTTTGCGCCAACGTATTGTTTTTGCTATCTGAAGCGTTCAACAATGCAATGTACTCGCTATAGATTCGTTGTATGTTACTTGCCGCAAAAATCATAAACCGATAAAGTGAACCACATCAAAAAAAGCTCCACACACAATGTATATGGTGTTCAAGCAGCATAAGTATTGTATAATGTTCAAGAGAACTGCAGTATTAAAGCATCACATTAATTATTATAACAATAACAAATAACTTTTTTGTCTTAACGCCTCTATGCCATACGAAGATGCTTGAAGTTTATTGTGTGTTTTTCTCTCTCTGTGTCTTTCTCTCACTCTCTCACTTTCTATCTTTGCTTCGGTTGTCAACGCGATTTAGTGATTAACAATTGCAAATTATGTGAAGCATACATCAGACTGGCATAAATTGTTCCACATTCGATCGTGTTGTTTTCTTATTTGTTTTGCTATTTCTCATCCGGGTTGTCGCAATTTTTTCATATATAAATATTTGAGTTTCAAGAAGTCAATTTCAGTTTGTCGCCTGCGTTTGATGATGGCATTTTAATTCATTTATACATATACATATTTGATTCAAGTGCGCATTTGTACATAAATTGCCGTGGCTGTCATTTGGTCGTTATAGTGTTGTTCCTTTTCTATATTAAAAGTGCTTGCGGTCAATTGTAATTATTCGAAAATTCTAGAATATTAAAGAAATGCGACTGGTTTGTTTTCCTTATTTTTGGTGAATTATTTTAACATATTGTATCGAATCAAGAGTCAGATCAAATGAAATTACTCAATTTCGTATAATTAGATTGGATCAATTACTGTGGTGCTTCCAGCTATTTATTTATTCATTGGATATACAAATGGCATCAGTGTGCATGAGGATGAAAATGAAACGCCAACCACACAAATTGCTGTGTTGACAACTGCGATTAATCCATCCGATAAGCTATCAAATATAACATCAAGAAATATGCATACACAAAACTCAACGTCTCATGGACATTCAATCATAAAATCGTCAACTTTAATGAGAAATTCGACGAAAATACGGTATGGTCTTCAATTTGAATTATTGGATTTCGTTTTTTTTTTTGTTGAATTATTGGATTTCGTGTCTTATTAATATGAATATTATTCATTTTATTATCATTTTTATTGAATTTAATAACTTCCCATTCGAAATGATGGGAAATATAGTGATGTTGCAAATATGCGAAATATCACTGCAGCGAATCCATGGCCAAATATATCTACCGTTAATGAAACGAATAATATCGGTATCGATGGACAACATCATCTACTGTCGAATATCGATTCGAAAAATTGGCAAACACCAACAATGAAATATGAAACGTCGAACATATTCATTCCATCGCCTGAATTGATTGTCGATACAAGTCAATCGTCGGAATCTACCGAAAATAATCATCGTTACGTAGTTCCTGTAAGTAAAAGAATAAAAAGTTATTATTGTCGAGTGAAAGAAGTATTTATTCCAAAAAAAAAAAAAATCATGTAATAATAATAATTTGATATCATTGTGTTGCAAAAGTTTCCTCTATACAACAACAAAAACAGCAACCATTCAAAGTCACGCAGTAATTTACCGACGAATGTAAGTCAAGACAGTGCAAATAATTATGCAAAGTTCACCATCGATGGTGTCGCACAAAATACATTGTCAACAATACCAGCTGATGGTGGTAGTGGTTCGGTGCTCAACGAAAACGATAAATTACCATGGCCGTATGAGAATGCCGCAAGGGAATTTAAGTGGAAAACAATAAAACCAACCAAACCTGTAACCGTTTTATTCAAAAGAAATTATGTCAACTTAAATCATACGGATGATAAGAATGTTAAAGTTTTGCCACGTAACACTGTTAACACTGAAACGACACAATCCAGCACATCTATTTTATCAACAAATACATACCCATCGCTGGCTACAGCCACTTTACCCGCATACCATCCATATACATTTGAAAATATTCATACATCTTTGCCCTCATCTGAATTTCCCACATATCAACCTGAAATACATGAAAATCATGATGCTTTAACACAACCAATCGAACAACAAAACGAAACAAACAAATTTGATGAAAATTACGATGCCAAAGACAATATTGTACCCGTTCAACGAATTAATAAAGAGTACGAATGAATTTAACCAATTCCACACATAACATCACATACACACCGAATATATTGAAATTAAATTTACAAAAACAAAATTGAACATTTTATACTTCAATTCTAGAATTCTTTGGCATACGGCACTTAAGTGGATGGCAACAGCCATTCCAATTGGCTTGGTAATATCAGCATTAGTGCCAAATGTGGTTGTGGTGAACACAAATTCCACATCGTAAGTATTTGCTTGTTTTGAATTCAAATTTAGTTTCGTTCCGAAATGCAAATTGTTTTCTTCTCATTGTACAAGACCATACTCAACAACCATTTATCCTACACCGTATCACCTGAAAACAACACCAAAAACAACTATTTATTCGGCTTAAAATCGATACGAGCAATTAACACATGAAAGATAAAATCATTCGACGTTCGTGGTGAAATCGAAACAACTCCAAAGAAATAAACAGTCATTCAGGAGCAAACTTTTGTGAAAATCACAATTTAGGTGAACCGGAAATTCTAGCGGATGATAAAATGAACAAAATGCAACCAAATCGGCGCACATGTTTTATGAAGCACTAAATGAGCATGTAACTTTTGTTCGAAAAAATAAAAAACCAAACAAAAAAAATACCATTGTTCTTTTCTTGCAAATTATACTCTATTGAATTCCAACCCTGTCAATTCAAGGTATTATTACTTTCGTCATTATCATTACATTCGACATCAGGCGAACATGTTGGACATCGCTGTTTTGATTCTCCGTTGCGATCGTTTGATTCTTTTGATGTTGATAATGAATCTTTGTTCAAACTTTATCCAAACAAAAGTAATACAAAAAAAATGTTAATAATTCATTGACAAATATCAATTTTGCGTTACAGTAAAACTTTCAAATTCTTATACGGCTGCTTATATTGCGTCAATACAGCTTGAATATGGTAGATTGATAAGGTTTTATTGTTTTTAAATGAGTCGTTTGTATTTTGCCATTGTGCCAATAAATATTTCGGACCGTTTTTCAGGTGACAATATTTTATGAAGTCCTTAAAAAAATATTGCGCATGAAATTGAAGTTTTGAATCATTTGATTGTTTGTATATAGTTTGGATGTTGTTGCTATTTTAACGTTTTCGGTTTTTCTGTTTTCTTCTGAACATTTAATAGATATTTTTATTATAAAAATCCGAATAAAAATCACTTGAAGTATGCTGTTTTGAACGCATAAGAGTAACTGCGACCATTTTCAATGCTTCTTATAATAACATATTTGAGAAAAAAATGTTTATATATTTATTTTGCATATTTTCCAGACATCCAAACGGTTTTTTTTTTAATGTGGTCTTCTGTAGACCACAATAAAGCGTTCCATTATATTTGATGCTTGTGAAATTCATATAAAAAAATGTTATGTTTAAGCGTAAGCAACAGAACATTGTTTTATTCAGCATCGACCGGAATCGTCGTTTTCAAACAAATTTCAGTTGGTAAAAAATGTGTAAACAAAAAACGCCGACTCTTTAAACTCAACACACCGAAACGCACACAAATAAACTGTGCTGTATGTTGATACCGCATTGTATTTGTCATTGGTTGACAGTGTGCAAAATGTGAGGTTATAGTTTAGTTTACTCTGTGATTCGTTTAGTTAAACAACATTTTCTAATTAATACTAGGCTGAATATTTGTTATTTTTTTTGTTATTTTGAAAGCGGCATAAAATGGATGATAAAACGGATAAAATACCAATTTTTTTGTACAGAGAGTTTGTGGCCGATTTAACAAAAGCAATTGAATTTTCGGAGCAAAAAAGATGTAACTCTCTAATTACATCCATTACAAATCCAAATTTTCGGCGTGAATTCAGCAAGAGCCCGGTGCGAGAGAATCATTTTCGCTTTACACGATCCGAATTATTGTTGGAGCCAGCAAAATGGCATACACAAGTGGTGGCTAAATTATCCAATTGGATTGACTGTGATTCGACCGATGAAAATGTTCGAAAATTTAGTGAAGCAACGCTTAAACAGGAAATTGCATTTGCACAACATGTTGCCGGTCATGGGCAAATTCTTATCAAGGTTCGCAGTAGAAATACATCAAATTTAGCACGGACGATTTGTTCAGAGCTCACAGGTATGCAACGCAAAACCCCGTTGACAAAATTCACTCATAAAATTGTGGTTAAATTGTGTGCATTTGTATCTATTTGTAGCCGGTTCATTGCTCGTCGAAATGCCAATGGTCGACTATGAGAATCGTTGGAAAGATATTGGTAATGAAGAGCTCAAATCGACTGATACATGGCATTGGTGGAATGCATTTCGTTCGTATTCCGATTATAATTCACGATATCAATTGGCACTTGAGCTAACGTCAGATTTACCAACACAGGATGTCATCTTACGTTGGTTAGGCGAAACAATTGATGTGCTGATCGTTCCAATCGATTTGTTTATCAACAATCGAAACAATTTTCCGGTTCTTCCGTACAGTCATAAGTTAGTTACATTGAAATTTTTGGCTATGACAAATTGTAAACTAGCACTGAAAGCGCCCGATGATGATAGCCGAAATATTGATAATTATGTTAGCTTCCTGCGATATTTGTACAAGGAAAATGCGAAACGAAATGATCCAATGACTGGGTAAGCGATCCATATATTTTAAATGTGATTGTAATACGCTAATTATTGAATTGAAATTTGTTCGTAGCTATGATGACCTATTAGAGATTCCATTGCAACCATTATACGATAATTTGGATTCGTATACCTACGAAGTGTTTGAAAAAGATCCAATTAAGTATATATTTTATCAAAGAGCTATCGAACAGGCATTGATGGATAAAATCTCGGACGAAGAAGCAGACATAAAAACGGTAAATCAATCAACAATCATTGATTATGCTTCATTTAAATATCATCATTTATCTCGAATGTCAGGCAATTGTGATGGTGGTTGGTGCTGGTCGTGGACCACTGGTTCGTTCTGCATTCAATGCGTCAGCCAATGTGAATCGAAAGATCAAAATGTATGTCATTGAAAAGAATCCAAATGCAATTGTTACACTGACCGCGCTGCAAGAGGAATTATGGAAAAACAAAGGTAGACACATATAAATTATTTATCATTTAAATGTATTTGATTTACATCTCCATGCAGACATGACCATTATTTCGACTGATATGAGATATTTTGAGCCATCAGAGAAGGTTGATATTCTGGTATCGGAATTGCTCGGATCGTTCGGTAAATAAATAACTATTTAGTTTTTATTTAAAATGTTAACGAATTAACATCTATTTTCGCATCGTATTAGGTGATAATGAACTGTCGCCAGAATGTTTGGATGGAGCTCAGAAGCATTTAAAAGAAGATGGCATAAGCATTCCATGTCAATCAACTTCATACATAAATCCAGTGATGGCACCGAAATTGTGTAGCATAATACGCGAAGTTCGTGGTCATATGCGACGCGGCAAACCGAATACATATGAAAAACAAGCAGAAAGTCCGTACGTTGTATATTTGAAAAATGTGTATCATATCACCAAACCGCAGCCAGTGTTTACATTTGTTCATCCGAACAACGATGAGGTGATTGATAATTCACGTTTCATTAAAATGGAATTTGATGTTGCACACGATTGTGTGTTGACCGGTTTTGCTGGATACTTTGACACCATTTTATACAAAGACATCAAATTGAGTATTCATCCTGAAGAGCATACACGAGGGCTCATATCATGGTTTTCATTGTACTTCCCGTTGACCGAACCACAACAATTGCGTGCCGGCGATAAGATCAAACTTAACTTCTGGAGATGCATATCAAATCGCAAAGTATGGTATGAATGGAGCACAACCTCGCCCACAGTCACTCACGTGCACAATCTGAAAGGTTGGGCCTTTCCCATATATAAATGATGATGATAATGTTAACTATTTACTGTTACCTCTTGTCATAAAAATTATTATCGATTCATTGATAATAATCATCGTTCATCTTGTCAATGTTTAAAAAGAAAAAAAAAGAAGCAAATGTTATGAAACTAAAATAAACAGACACACTTTTCATGTTAAAAAAATATAAACCAATTGGATTTTTTTTTAAATATTCTTTGCCAATATGCTATCATATACGAATTGACATTGCAGCGCCATCGGGCGGACGATGGTACATATTAAAACATGAATCAATTGAACACAGCGAAATTGAAAAAGTCACCAATCATTTCGCCACAATGGTTTTTTATTTATGAGGCTTCAAAATGTCAAATATACATGACATTATTATTAGTTTACTTTCGTGAGAGTATAAATAGATTTTTTTTTGTTTTGAAAATCAATGGAACAATGAGTTCCAGAGATTGTTTTTCAAAAGTCTTGCCCAACATAAAATTGGCAACACGCTTCGATGCTGATGGCAAAGAAGTTCAGGTAAACATGTCAATAGCATTTGTAAAAGAATGGGCCATAGTATTTCTCTTGCATTTAGAAGCAAAAGAATATACGAATCGTTTACTTTTAAGTGATTACTGTCAGGTGCTATCAGAAGGTGCAGAGCACTTTCGATTTTGTGATAAAAAAGAGAGAGAGATAGAAGTGACGATTAGTTATCATGAAAATGTTGATTTCAGGTGGAACAACGTGAAGACGAAGAGCAAAATGTAAAACAACAAGATATATTCGATATTCTAGTCGCGGCTGGTTATTTTCGGGCGAGAATCAAAGGATTATCTGCTTTCGATAAAATTGTGGGCGGAATGACATGGTGCATCAGTGCATGTGATTATGATGTTGATGTCGATTTATTATTCCACGAAAATCTCACCATCGGTCAAAAAATGTAATTGAAAATCGAATGCAATAGGAAAAAAGAAGACACATTTGTCGCTTTAAAAAATGACTTTCACACCTTATTAATGTTTAATTGTATGTTATCCATTTCTACAGCACACTAACGGAGAAAATCGTTGCTGCTTTACCGAAAATGAAGTGCCCATATTTAATAGAACCTCATCAAATCCAAGGATTAGATTTTATTAATATTTTCCCTGTGATACAGTGGCTTGTCAAGCGTTCGGTAAATAATACACACAAATCTGTTTTTAAAAAAATGATATAAATAACAAATGGCTGTTTTTTGGATTGCAACATTAGGTTGAAAATCGAGCTGAAAAGGCGGCCAAATTGAATGCTTTTGCGGTGGGTCAATTTCATAATTATTTTTCATTGAAATCAGAACAAGAACAGAAGCAAAAGTTCTTGAATGCAACGGAACGAGTAAAAGAAATTCAAAACATCTATCGACCACATCGAAAGTATAAACGAAAAGATGCCGGTTCGGAAGATGAACAAACTCGTATACGTATCACATTGCTTGAATATGGTAACAAAGGCAAAGACATCTTACCGCAACATCTCAAAACTGATGGTGGTATAAAGTCAACATCAAATGCCACTTCAAAGCCAAACAGCGACGACAATACAGGAATCGATTCGGTTTGTAGTTCGATTAATTTTATTTTATGTTTGTTTCATATCTAACATTTTTGCAGATTGATGTTGATCAGCTTTTAAAAACACTTTATGTAGCCAATGAGGTAAACAATCGCCAATTGGCCAATGTGTGTTGCTCGAATATATTTAATTTAATTTTTATTTTTATCTTTGCCACAGGATCATGCTATTATCCAATTTAATGATGCTGATAAAAAGAATCTTCTTAAAAATCTCGCCGAATTGAAAAACGAAATGTCGATTGATACAAAACAACTTTCCGAACAAAATACAATTAAAACATTATTAGCAACGAAAGCGATTTTAGATAAGAAATTGCAACAAATTCAAGAGGATAATCGAAATCTGGAAACCGGTCTAAAGGATGAAAAACAAAATCTCAATAAAGTTCGCAACGAAGTTGACATAATTCAAGAGGAAATACGCCATTTAGATGCGATTGAAATTAAGGCCACCGACAAAATGTACGGAATATTTATTTTCTTTTGCTAAAATATAAAGTAAATGTCTTTAAATTATTTTTGCAGGCAATTGGTTCGCGGTATGTTAGAAGAAAAAGAAGAGCTTCGTCAAAAAGAAATTCAATTCAAAGATCATTGTAAAAAGGAGTTGACTAGACTACAAAAGGAATTACAGTAAGTTATTAATTTGGTGTTCTTTTTTTTCGATTAATCTTCTACTGCCTAACACCTATTTAAAAAAAAATCCCAGTTTTTCTCCAAAATAAATAAATTTTTTCATGAATTGAAAACCTTGAGCTATTTTTCAATTTATGAATATATTTTTGTAATTAAATGCCATTTCAGTGATGCTGAGCTTCCCACTCCGGAAGAGGACTTGCATCATATGCAAGATACAATGGAAAAAGAAAAAGAACGCTTACATTTAATTCGACGGCAATTGGCGAAGAAAAATCGTGCCATCGTATCCATAGAACGTAAATTAGACAACATTCCAGACCGAACTGAATTGGCTCAATATCAGCGCAGATTTATCGAATTATACAGTCAAGGTGTGTTTTTTTTTGATTGCGCGTTAATATTTCACATAATTAAAATGATTGAATCAATTCACAGTGAGTGCCAAACATCGTGAAACGAAGCAGTACTTTACCTTATATAATACTCTGAACGATACAAAACAGTATCTAACAAAGGAATTGCAGTTGCTCAATTCAATTTTTGAAAACTATGCTGAGTAGGTTTATTGTTCTTTTTTTACATTTTAATTTCAAGCCTTCGACGAAATAAAATATTATCTTGTTCGATTTACAGGGGGATGTCAAACATGCACGCCAAGGAACAATTTGTTCTTCAACTGGAGCAAATAGTAGACGGTGTTGGTCAAACAAAATTAAAAATAAAGAACAAACTCGAAAGCGAAAAAGCAAAACGAGACGATTTAAATGAAAAACTGAGTGCATTGGTTGAACAACAACGAAAATATGCCGTTGTATTGAAACAGTTTACAAAAGATTGCGAACGAAATGAGCACTTAGTAAAACAATTGAAAGCGCTGCAGGCAGCGGCCAAATTGAAAGAGAATAAATAAATGTCTTTAAAGAAATGTTATATATATATAAATCTGAAATAAAATCAAATAGGTATTTTTAGTTTGCAAATAAAACCAAAACTACTAGCAAATGATAAATTTGAATTTGTTTATTGTTTTCCTTTTTTTTATTGAATATTTTGTTGACTTTTCGCATGTGCATAACAAATAAAATTCGAGAAAAAAAAATATTATTCAAAAGTTATTGAAATGTTTCAGTCGATACATGGGAACCTGTTTGTCGCCATTTCCAATGGCAAAATATCCGCTTTGTGGTGAAAATTGTATGACATTGGGTTTGCCGATGTTTGAATTTGTCGCTGGAAAATTATGAAAGACCGTTCCACTTGGAAAATGTACTATTCGAACAGCATCTTCGACGTCTTTTGATGCGATTGCAAGCAATTCCGATGTATGATTAAATGTTGTACTTGAAATGGCTGTCGTTAAATTTAGAATGGTCTTTTGAGGGTGTGGATATTTTTGATGCAGCACATCATTATAGTTGTATACATTAACAACGCCCTGTTGACTTGATGCGGCCACCATTTGTCCATTTGGACTAATCGATATGGTTGATCCATTGATGCAGCCATCATCGATAAAACGATGCGTGAATCGTTGTTCACCAATATCAAAAATATTCACTTCATTATCCACACCATGCGTAAATAAGTATTTTGAATTCATTGAAAATGTTAATGCGGTTGCATCATGTTCCTGTTTTAATGTGCACAGCAATTCAAATGTGTTTGCAAATAACAAATGTATTTCACCAAAACGTCCAATAACACCAACATATTTACCGCACGGTGAAACCTCAAAATTGTGCATTTTTGTTATTGTTTTTGGTAAAAAGATGCGTTGCGTTTGGCCACTCAGCAAATCATATGTGTAGAAGTATTTTTGTGAACCGCCAAAAATGGCTTGGCTGCCATCCTTTGAAAGACGACAACAGCGAATTGGAAAATTTTTAAATGCCATACTGTGAAGTTTATCATTTTTCTTGCCATCAATTGAATAAATTGTTGCAATTCCTTTTGTACCGGACACCAATCCAACCGATGAGCCCGGATGAAATGTGACACTGGTTATTGATGGACCCTCTGCATAACTTTCACGATTTAAATCTTTTAATTTTTTAAACTGCAATTGGCCACTTATCAAATGTGCACTTTTTGTTTGCGCTATATGACCGACCGTACGTAGAATTTCATCATCAGAATCATCGTCATCGCCGCCCTTATTTTTGCGATTCAAATCGGCCCAAGCAGGTGTGCCAAGTATACGTTGGAATTTATTTTCCAATTGCTTTTTATACACCTCTTTTTGTGTGACCTCACATTTGTAATTGTCAATTCTGGTAACTACATCGGTGCCTTCGTCGTCATCATCATTCCAAACTGGCTTTCTCTTTTTATCTGATTTCTTCTTCTTCTTTACACCATCGGCCAATATTTCAAGATTTTTTAGGTAATTGTTTTTATTACCAAAAATGTCTTCTTTCAATTGTTGCTCTTTCAATTTGCCCAGTTTACGTTGTTCCTTAGCCGATAATTTCATCGATTTACTATCGATCTCTGGCTTCGTTTCATTTTCTTCATCATTATGATTTTTGCCTTCGGTATCGTTTGGCTCTTGTTTCACAGCAACCGATGGTTTTTCATCGTCTACCGCTTCTTGATCATCAAAAAAATTTGAATAATCATGTTCACTACCACTTTCCGAATCAGACATTTCGATACGATTTTATTTAAATTGAAAATACTTTAACTAAAACAAGCAAATTGTTTCGATCCAACAACGAGTCTTTGTCGAACATGTGCGCTGTTATGACAGATATGAAAACACACACATACACATACTCACAAACATCCAACGACCTCTACCATCATTTAAACAAAATAAAGTGAACATCGGTTATAGTTGCGAAGAAAAATAAAAACAAGCGCCATTATTTGAATACTCGAATATTCATATTTATAATATTTATTTAATTCGATACACTAATCAAAGTACATGTCTACACAATTAATTTGCTTCATTTTTAATAATAAAATGGTCTATCTTAATTTGGTCTCTATGCTAATTTTTGGATTTGTAAAATCGACACGCGTGTTTGCATCCTTTGAACTGTATGAAAGAAAAGAAAAATGGAAATAAAAAAAACATTAGATTGAAAAAGATTTAAAATAAATGATTATTTAAAAAAAAATCAGGAATCGACAGAGTATGTTCGTTTGGCCTTTTTACAATTTTATCGTTATTTTCAGCAGATAAATAAAAGTATTTGCAAAATTATCCATTTTAATTACATTAACTCTGACGATAGACCATTTTCCTCGTATGTAAAACCGCAATATATTTAAAAAAAAGAAAAAGTGGAAATATGTGAAATCGCCATCTACTCAATAAAAACGTTTGAGAATAATTGATACTTACGCAAGTGTGATTGGTGCAAATATTTCGAAAAACGTCTGACTTTGTCATAATCAATATTTCACAAAAGTCCCAGCACATGGCACAATGATTATGGTCTTGGCAATTGGTGTCGATGACAGTATTATCTCTTTCGAATAAAAATCGCTCAAGGCATCCGGCTCGGCACTGATCAATTATTTGCGTGAATTCAATGTTTCGGCAGTCAGCTGATTTAATTCGAATTGCTAAAATCAACAAAATGACAAATATGGATTGTTTTTGGATGTTGTTTATTGTGCCGAACATTGTGAATCCGCTCATTTTTGTTGTTTTGTTATTAATATTGTCACCTTTGATAACTATATTTACTGTTTAAAACACTCTTGAATATGATTTATTTATCTCATAAAAGTTCGTATGAATTTAAATGTGAATTTATAAAATGCAGTGTGAATCCGTTTCAAAATGAATGAAATGAAAAATTTTGTGTTCGACAAATAATTTTAGTATCGCAGATAAGAATTTAGTTCCGAATGATTGAGATGATTTACTACAACTGACTCATATTCATTCATAAATTTCTATTTTGAGTATTTTAAGCGATTTCAATTTACAAATTTGGAAACATGTTCATTCATTATGTCAAACACACATACACACACACTGCTTCAATTACTATAATTCAGAGAAGGACAGATAGAGTTCATAAAATGGTTGAGATGAAGGGAAAAAATTTACATAGAACGGGAATATTCAGGTAAGCGTCAGTCCTTTTATATTCACTTTTACTGAAATGTTTTTATTATTTTTTGTCTATTGTTTCAAATGACAAGTATCCTCGCATTCGGTAGACGCGTTCATTTTCTTCCTCTTGCAAACACTTTAACCGAATTTCCTCTATTAGTTTTTTTTGTGGAACAAAAGGCAAAAACCTGATGAGGAAGCATCATCTTTTATTTTATTTTTTGTTTTATTACCTGCATTAATATGGGTGACAATTAAGAGAAGAAAGATGCATGCGTCATTCCATGCAGTACCTCTTCTTGTATATATATTCTCTTGTATTTTTTTATGATATCCCTAGTTTGAATCGTTTTTTTTTTTGTATTTATTTTTTTTTTCGTCTCGTTTGTTTTTGTTTCGTTTTTGACATTTCTTTTGTTGTCGTTAAACCTACAAATTGTAACTCGTGTCATACATAAGTACCACAGCGCGACATAATTCCTATTTAACATTTTTTTTTCATATTCATTATTTTTACAGTTAAAAGTGCACCGGAGTGTCTGACACGGTCTGTGCCGGATATTACATGCAAAGATCAATTATAAAGATGACAGAAACAGAATGTGAAATACTTTTGGTACGCACAAATTTGGCACAGGAAATGCAGAACTAATACGCTATAATTTGTTTTTGGATTTCCTCAGACAACAATAGACTACAATGTATAAACAAACGTATTTATTTTTTTGTTGTTGCTCTTGTTCCATGAGTATGTGTATGTATTGCTGGGGAAAATTAACTCTCACTTTCGGAAGTAAAACGGCATTGTCATTTTGCACCGAAAAAATTCCACATTTTAATAGCAAACCAAAGTTCAGTGCGGCTGAACGAATAAAAAAGGACGATAGGCAAAAGAAGTGTCCAAAGATGAATCCAATGCGGATATGGTTGTTGATAATTATCTTAACACTATTATGAAGGATTTTCAATCCACAGTGTTTTTTTAATATTTTTATCCAAACAATGACACAGAGTGTTTCGGAAGTGAAATCGCAAGTGATGCATTGAACCGCATCGGCATATAGAATAGATGGATATGACGCGTATTTTGAATAGTGTTATGTATCGCTGCGCTAATACAAACGGCACATTCTCACTGAACTTTTGACGGTTTTTCGTATTAATTCATAGTCAGATAATAATAAAAAAAATATTGAATATTTGAAATTAAGAAAAAGCGCAATATTTTTATTTCCAATGTGCGTGTTATTTTAAGTGTGTTGTTTTCAATTTGATGAAAAATAAACGGAATCACCGATAAAAATGAACATTTCGATGAATGCCCATAAATGTAATCGCCTTTATTTCAGTGATCAAAACAATTCGACACAAAAAATAAACGAGAAAATACTCACAATACTATCGGCGATGGCTTCAACAATCGGAATTTGAATTTTTCCATAAAACTTTACGAAAAGAATTAAATTATTCGGATAATTTTATAGTCGACGATATCAAAGCGGTGTTGTTAATTTTTATTGAGCATTTCCGTAAGGAATGGTCTCGTTTAATATACCAAATATACAAGAATGTACGCGCGTGTTAATAAAAAACAATAATTTTTCTGTTCTCGTGTTATTTTGCAAGTGCATTTCAGTGGATTGTTTGGATTGTCTGTCAGTGCAATAAAATTGAAGAAGAAAAAAAAACTCTTTGAAATGGCCGATATAGCCGAATCATCGTCACAGTCGCCAATTCCGATTGAAGAAGATGCAATACCATCGACACCAGCAAAAAAAGTGAAACTAAGCGGTGCAAAGAAACCAACATCCGAACTCGTTCTAAATGCAATTAAAACACTCGAAGATTGTAATGGTTCATCATTGCAGGCAATTAAAAAATTTATTGCAACAAATTATAAATTGGATACGGATAAAATGGCACCATTCATAAAAAAGTACATTAAAAATGCAGTTGGTGCGGGTAAATTGATACAAACAAAAGGAAAAGGGGCATCGGGTTCATTTAAACTACCAATAAATGTGGCAGCCAAATCAAGCAACAATGAGAAAAAGAAAAAAATTATCAAAATAAAGAAAAATAAGAAGGAAAAATTGTTAACAGCAATACAAACGGTGGCCGAAAATAAAAAGCATTCGTCGATGAAAAAAGGCACAAAAAAGTCAAAGGCATCAAAAAAATCGATGACACCAAAACAAAAGTCGACAAAGCAATCAGCGAAAGTGGTGTCAAAAAAAGTGAAAGCACCGAAAACAAAGAAGGCTCCATCTGTAAAGATGACCAATGCAGAAAAAAAAGCATCCAAAACCGCAAAATCAAATTAACCGAACAACGTTTTCAATCGGCAAAGCCTTAAATGTAACACATTTATTCAATTTTAAGAATATCTGCCATTTATAAACAATAGTTTTGAAGCACATTATTTTTTCAGTTCACATATCACACCAAATGTATTCAAAATAATAATGAGACATGGATAAAATGATATGGATAAATTATGAATTCACATTCAACCGGCGCCATCTTGGTTTAAATATTATTTTATTAATTTACATGTTTTGAAAATTACAATGCAACATAATCACTATTTCATTATACCTATTTATGACATAAGAAGAAACAAATGTAACGAAATATTCACCAATCACAATTGAAATAAATAAATTCTGATTTAAAATTAGAATTCCCCACCCATAAAAATACGATTGCTATGTTAGACCAGATATAGTTTAATTTTAAAATAAAATAAATATACAATTGCGTTATAAATCAGAGCAGTCTGATTAATCACAAGTGAAGTCAATGAGCGAAAGTTGATTTTCAAACGAAGAGCTGAGAAAAATAAAATCAAAATTTACTGCCAAAATGGGTAAAACTTCGAACAAAAAAAGAACAAAACACCAAAAACCGAAGAGCAAAAAGACAAAGGGAAAACATCACACATACTCGCGTTCAATTTACAAGCTACTAAAATCTATTTCACCCGAATTGACCATTAGTGTTAAAGCTATGAAAGTGATGAACTCATTCGTTGACGATCTACTTGGGCGTATTTGCAGCGAAGCATGTAATCTTGTTCACATTACCAACAAATCGAAAATGACTGAATATGATATCAAGGCAGCCACCAGACTGATTGTAAGAAATCCCGATCTATTGAAATTTGCACTCCAAATGGCAAATCGGACTATAAAGCTTGCGAATGAAAATAGCTAATTTACTCGAAATTAGACAAAGAAATACATTTAAAGACATTTTTTTCGTAAAAATTCATTGTAACTGTTGTTCAAAGTGGTAAAAAATGACCCGAAAATGAATTAATAAAAGTAAAGAAAATCTTATAACATTTTTAATGTTGTTTTATTGTTCATTTCATGGAATTCAAGCTTATTTCAGCTTAATCCGTTACTTCCAATGCATGATTAAACTTTCAATTGAGCACACACACACACGTATGTATACACACGCCATCTACTGGCCACCCTTCACCACTGTTCGACAGATTGTTTTTGTCATACGCAAATGTCATAATGATAATGCCCAATCGAATACAAAATAATACGAGTTAAAAGAGAGAGAGAAACAAAAACAACAAGAATCACTAGAGAAATCATAATAATTTTTTTGTTACATATTTTAAACAACAAAAAAGATATTCCAAACAATTTATTTAACAGTGGTAGTGAATAGTTTACAATATTTATTATGACGGCGGAAGAGATAAATTGGCGTGCATTAATTGTAAAAAATTTGATAGATCGAAATCGAAGGGAAACCAATTCATTCAACGAAATAATAACACAAAGTTTGTATTGCACATACCATCCCTAACCTTAATCACACTTTCAATTGTTTTTCTACTTAATTCAGCGTACAGAAATGTTTTGTTTTATTATTTTGACGTTAGAACACAATTGTCAAACATATATATATATATATATTCAAAGTGCCGCAGAAAAATAGAGAATAATTAAAATGAACCACTGTGTGTTTGTTATCATGTGCGTACGCGCGCAATGTTTTACCATTGTAATTTGAAGAATGTGTGCATGAAATATTTATGACATGTGTGTATGTGACATCATGCATTTATTTTATTATTTTATTTATGCTTTACAGATAATCGTTTACTTGACACAACCTACGAATTGAAATCGTTGAATTTAAAGTTGTCGGTGGAAAATGAGCAATTAAGATCGGGTAGCACAGCGCCGTCAAATGGTACGAGCGCAGCGTCAGCCGCAAAAATATCGCATCTGGAAAGTAAGCTGTTGGCACAACAAGAGCAACTCACTGACCTGCATAAACGAAAGGGTGAAAATGCACAAATGATTATCGATTTAAATTTAAAATTAGAAAAACAAAATAAATTATTGGGTGAACGAGAAGCCACGTAAGATAGATATATCGAATTTACATTGAACATATTAATCAACAATTGACATTTATTTTGTAGTATTGCTGATCACATAGCGGTGAAATCAAGTTTACGTGCCGAAGTTCTTATGCTAACGACTTCACTGCAAGAGCTCAAATCATTGAATTCCTGCTTACGAGATGAACATTGTGCACTGCAATTGGCTTTTGCATCACTCGAAGAAAAATTACGTAAAGTTCAGGTATGGATTGAAACATTTTTTTGGTTTCTGTGACTAAATTTGTTTTTAATCTCTGATTAAATGCATTTGAATTTATTTTGGTAGGATGAAAATCGAACACTGGTGGACCGTTTAATAAAATATAAAGCAAAAGATGCCGAAAAATTAAATGAAGAAAACGAAAGTTTTTTAAAGTAAGTAAGCACATCCGCCGAGTACTGTGCAAATGTTTACAGGTTGTTGTTCACTTGTTGGTTGCATGCAGAAAACCACATAATCATAAAAATTGTGACTGGTATCGATTTGATCGAACATTTTGCATGTTCTATCTATCTACCGCTTTGTTATGACAAGCGAAATTCTTTCATCTTCCGTCGGTCTCTATCTCATTTGACTCTCCGCTCTATATTTGGCCACCATTTGAATGCGCAGAATCAACAATAAATTAACATTCGCTTCAAACCGTTTGTTGATGAATGTCCCTCTGGTTTAAAATTATACGTCAACAGCCAAACCATAAATCTATGCGGAATAAATCACATTTGTCACGCACGCACATAAACAAAATCAAATCACATGTTTTGCTAAAACATAGATAGTTTGCAATGACTTAATTCGGTATGGAAAATTTGCGTAAAATATGTCATTTTCAATTTGTAAACAACACTGCGTACGCGAAGGTTAACTGCTTCACGCAAGCCCAAAATTGGTAAAATCACATGACGAATTGTACAAGTTCGAACGAACTCGTGATTTTAAATACTTATTTGAAATGTGAGAAAAAACCAAAAAAAAAAATCGGTCCTCTATACTTTACAAGGACTGTTAGCACACCGGTACAAATACTCAGTGGTCAGTGCACCTTTCATCAAACCGGTTGCAACAAACCGACCCTGTTTTATTTTGTACAAACAAACATTGCACTTTATAGAAGTGTGTGTGTGTGCGTGATATTTGTGGTAATGAATCTCATTTAATCACTTTATTTTCTGATACTAACTCATAAAATAGTCGATAAAATTGCGTTGAACAAAAATTTGCTATAACTAAACAAAAAGAATTGGTAAAACTTTGTTTAGAAAACGTTCGGATAAAATGCGTAAGGAATTGGAGGATGCAGCCCGTGAAGGTGTAAGCCGACGATCAAATAGTCCAGTGCCAGCTTTGCCTGATCTTGAACGAGCAGGAAGCCTGAGTGATTTGACTGGTAATGCAAAAGCAGCTGGTTTCTTTAGTGATGGTATACCGAAACGTATTCATCTGAAATTCGTAAGTTTTATTTTTGTCTCAAGTATTTACATATTTTGAGTTATCAAACCATGTGTCTGGTTTTAGGATGCGCATGATGGTGAGGTGAATGCAGTTCGATGGAGTCCTGTTGAACCGTTAGTTGCAACTGGTGGTGCTGATAGAAAAGTTAATTTATGGGACGTTGGCAAAGGTAGCGGTATCCATGAAATCATAAGTGATTGAATTTTAAATCAAAGAAATTGTTTGTGTCGTAGCCAAAATGGAGCCCCGAGGAATCCTCATTGGAAGTAATGCAGCTGTAAATTCGGTGGAGTTTGATTCAACCGGTTCTATGGTGTTGGCAACATCAAATGATTACGCGAGTAGAGTGTGGACTGTTTCCGATCAACGGCTCAGGGTAAGTTCCAAAGAATAAAAACTGAATGCGTGATGATTTTTTTTTTATTAATTTTTAATCTTTATTTTGTCTTTATTTGATTATAAATATTACTGGTTTACGGGTTTCTCTTTTTCGGTTTTCTCACATTTCAATTTTCGTTTTAATTTTATTTTTTGTATTTCAAAAAGAAAACGTTCCGAGTGAAAAAGAAACCGTTTACAAAAATCTAAAAATATAATCTATTCTTATACGTTAAGCAATATTCATTTTTAAATCAATTGTTATTGCTTGATGCTCTAAAATCTAGATTTTTTCTTGTTGTTTTTTTGTTCAATAAATAAAAAGTTAATTTTTTTGTTGTTGTTGCATTAAATTAACATTAGGTTGATGTTATATTGGCTAAAAGTATACTTGTGTTTATAAAAAAAAGTTCGTATGATCTGAAGTAATCTCGAAATGGTTGTCATTTTATGGAATTGAAAGAAATAGAACGAAATGTGTTCATTTCAACACCATTCAGAAGTAATTTAGTGTATTCGATTGAATTCTCGATGAGATTAGTCGATCGACGATTAAAAATTGAAAAAAATAAAAATATGTTTACTAAATTTTTACGTCTGTGCGTGTTGGTGCGGGAAAAGCATTTGCGTTAATTAATTGCTTGAAATAGTACCGCCACTTAAAATTTGCTATACACGCAAGACAAACTAAAAAAAATAGTTCAGTTCTTTCAATGAAATAAAAAAAATGTGTTTAAGACATCTGGATGCCTTACGCACGGTATTTCATCTCCCTAATTCTTACTACAGACAAAAAAATAAGAAGAAGAAGAAGTTTCAAACTGAAGTACAATAATAAATACTTATGAACTATATGACGAGCACCTTCAATATTCTGTGCAGTGGTGTAATGTATGTGTAATGTTGTGTGTGAGTGATTTAATGATCGCACATTTTAATTTATTTTTATTAGAATAATCTGTTAAATATTGCCATCAACAAAACTCTTTCACACTTGCATTTTCTTCTTTCATTCTTCGTTTCTCTTATATGTTCGTGCCACTCACTCACATTCCGGTCTCCTTTTACAAAAAAAAAAAACATAGGTGTCCACTTTAATTTCATTTTGAATATTTTTTTTCTTCTTCCTTCTTTTCTTCTTTTTCGCTCGCCCTCTTTATTTCTTAGAAAACACAAAATATATGTAGTGTTAAAATTGTGCCCATTATTAAATTGCCGGTTTTACTGTATTTCATGCCATCGTATTCTAATAAAATTGATTGAATGTGGTGACGCGAACATTTTGATAATATCATATTTAATTTCAATGAGTTTGTTTAATTGCTTGTTATTTGTTTGTTTTTGCGTGCATCTTTCAACGAAACATTTATTAAAACCGAAACTAAATGATGATGAATAATTTTGTTTGTGTTTTAAAAGAATGTTGCGGCCTCTTGAACATTGATGAAATACAATTTGTTTCATTCTATATTTTAAATGTTTTGTAGTGATTCTTATCGTCTATATGTCATTTGTTAATTTAAATAAATGTTTATACTGAGTGTTCAATGTGTGTGTGTTTGTGTGCCTGTTTATATGATAAAAGCTTAAAATTTGTGCAATTTTTATGCATAGTGGATATGAATTGGTTTTTTTCATTCTCTAAAAAATTGACTATGGAAGAGTGGCACAGCATTTTTAGTCTGTCTTAAATTTGCTGTATGATTGATTTGTAGCATATTTTTTTGTTCGTTCGTTATTTTAGTTTCACTGTTAATTACGTAGATTTGTATTAATGGTGTGCTTTTGTTGTGTACGTGTATGTGTTTTTATGTGAGATGAGTAATAATTTAATAATGTTTTGTGCCTTACATCTGGTCAGACTTTTTCCATCGACAGTGCTGAAAATAAAATACAGAAAGGCTCTAGCATATCTTCTCTACTTAAGAAAATCTGCGCCGAGTGGATTGAACTCAAAAAAATGTTGCTCGAGACTTGTATCATGCAATCGGCTCACGCTTCTTCTTTTTTTTCAATATGTTTTATGCACTAAACTATTATGATTTAATTAATTTCAAATATTAATAATCTATAAATAGTTTTCATTTCCATAATTGAGTCTGATCAATTTTTTTCTCTCTTGTCGATTGGTTTGAATAATAATAATAATTCTTCAAGAAAGAAAGAAAAAAAAAACACCAAGAATTTTACTTCTATGCTCTAAAGTAAAAAATAATATAGAATCAATTGAATTGCATAGTAAGCAATAAGTGGTTGCATTAATTGCGAGTGTTGACAATTTAAATACTAACAAAAATAATGAAATGTTGAAAAGAATCCAATAATAATTTGTTATTCTACGATGAATTATGTGTGTGTGTTTCGATACATTACATTGGGTGTTATGTTGGTTACTTTTTTTTCTCAGCCAACATTTTTCTCGCATTGATTTGATTTTATTGTTGTGTCGGTATAAATGTGTTTGTGTGTATGTATTTGTGTTCTAATCAAATTTAAAACTTATGTTCGATGATGGAATTTTGATGTGTCTGAATTAAAAGTGTCCATGTCGACTTCCCAACGTATGTTCATAATCATATAGTTTGCTAAGCGAATCTGTTCGGCTGCCGGGCAACGTTGATGTTTGCAATGATGGGCCGTACGATGATGAACAGCTATCAATGGAACGCATCTTTCGGCGTCGTTGATACAAGTACGTCCAAATGGCGATGACTGCCAATTGAGCTAACAAAAACACTGTACCGGCCACAATGATACCTTTTTGTTGTATACAAACGAAATTGAGACATTTTAGTGTTACACATTTGAAACAAAGAAAGAGTGTGCGGCAAATAATCAATCATATGTTTCATTTTTCAACCATATTGTCTTACCTAAGCCATTAACACAGAATGCAGCCGGATCGGTTGAAACGAATACAGTTTCGCTAGATGATCGTGATTTTTCAAGTGATGTTTGCTTATCGAAACCGAATTTGTCAGTGATTTGAATGGATTGCACTAATAACATGTCTTCACGGCTTGGTGTTTTTGTTTCACGCGTGAAACGAGATTCTGTAATATATATAAACGAATGATTAAGATTTATGATCAAATGTAAACATTGCATATGCGGCTTCGGATTGTTAAAAAAAAAACCGAAAATGTTCAAATGAAAACATTTGATAAATGTTTACAAACCTGTCACATTGATGGAACGCCGTTTTCTACCATATGAAATGATCGATCGAAGGCCACCGCTTAAATCTTCTTGGTCGCATTGAACGGGTTCGCATGTTGGCATGCATGGTGTAACCAATGCACGGAATTGTACCACTTCAGACGATGGAAATTTGAATGCATCGAATTGCGATAGAAGAATTTTACCCGATTCGGAGCTCTTGTAAATGGGTCCCATGATAAAGTGATCGGTTGGACAACCACGTGCATCAATCAATGTAATTTCAGCATTATCACTGCCATCCATGGCGACCAATTCTCGTACAAGCATTTCGTATGGTGAATTTTTGTCCAAAATTTCAAAGTGCAATGTCAATGGATCACCAACTTCAGCCGATCTCATAACATCGGCGCCATCGCGTGCCGTAATCTTCATGGCAACATTTGGTGAATCGACAATCACTTCCTCTGACAATGCTGGTTCGATGTCGCCCGTTATTCCCAAATCGACTTCATTCGAAACCGTTTTGTTTGTCAAATCGTATTGACAGGTAACGGCTAAGCCCAAGTCAGATGATGTTACAATCGTGTCATGATGCTGAATAACAACGTCATTCATGTATCGACCTAATCCATTTTGTCGTACATTGCATTCAATGTCTTGATATGGCATTTGCAATTCAAACTCAAGTGAATTCTTAACATCGACGGCACACGATTTTGGTGCTCCTTTTGCGTATACCTTTCCATCGAACAATTTTGATGTACGAATCTTTGCCAACATATCACCGGCACGGCATTCAATCGTTACATTATAACATGATGATAATTCATATGTGGCGGCTTCTGGTACATCTAAATATGGTTCCTGTTGTTGTTTTTTTTTTTAAAAGCAAACAAAAACAAAACGATCAATTTTATTTGAATAGAAAATGTGTAAAAGTTCAAAATAAACTCAAACGTCAAAAATAAATAATAAATTAAGACGATAAAAGGTGTGAACAGGAACATCATCAATTAGAAATAGAAAACCACATTAAATAAAAATGCAAACGTATGCCAAATCCTACCTGAATATCTGCCAATGTAGCGCGACTGTGGTGGCTAAGACGGCAGACCATGTCACCGGTATCACCATAGTCATATGAGTGGCATCTGAATAATAAATTACCCGAAAATAAATAGGTTAATTACACCCTTTCTTTCTCGTTTCAGTAAAACTTAGTGGGCATAACATTTCTATGCCATTGAATGCTTATCTCACCACAAGCCAAATACACAAAATTAAAAGAATACAAATTGATGAGATTTATTATTAACTGTCGATTGTGTGATGGACAAATGAAACATTACTCATTTTAAAATGCTTACTCACTTCAATTCAATGTTTCGTGTAAACCATAAATGATACACTTCACACATAATATTCGATCGATCGATCGATTTGATCTGAATTTTATTGGTAATAATAAATTTCCGCCTTACCTGTATGGCGAGTTCAGGCACAATTCACGACATTCATCAACATTCGATACATCTTGGTATACTGAGTCAACAGTTTTCAAAATTCGACCGGACAAACGTTTGAATTCGCACAATTTATTTGGTTCTTCGGCACAGTTATTTTCCAAATAATCGACACCTATTCATTCGCGAATGGAGAACGCAACAACAAAAGAGGGAAGAAGAAAAAAAACTCACATGAATTTTCTAAGAAAAGCCAACTCAAGTCATCAACACCACATGGGAATTCAGCTCGAATTCAATCTGATTTGATGATGATTATATATATATATAGATTTGTTTCATTTTGCTTACCATCAGTTGGTTGGAATGAAGAAGTTGCAGCCAATGTAATGCGATCCATTTCAGATAGGTCACAAGCGCCCGTCGCATGATGATAATTTGCCGATCTAAAAACAAATGGAATAATAAAGATCTTTACTGCAAAATGCTATGAACGTGAAACGCGAAAAAAATGTCGTTAAATATGAGAATGTTCATATTTTCTGTAATGTATGGAATGATAAATGGTTTTTATACAATGCGATTTCAAATTTGTAATGGATATTTGAGCAAACATCAAAGTAAAGCGGGTCTATATTCTCTCTCTTTCGAATTTTTCATGTTTTTAACAAAATCAATGACAAATTCATCTCAGTTGAACAAACAATTTAAAAGAAAAAGAGTGGTATGCGTATAAATTCATTGAACGAATGGCAATAATTCTAATCACAATTGATAGAGAATGAAATATCAATAGCTAATAATGTGCCGCATCCATTTGGGCACATCGATTGCAGTCGTCATCGACACATATATACAAAAGCCACATAATGAAAATGGGGGCCCAATAAAATATTGAAGGAAAAGCATATTTATTTTATGAGAGTGAGACAGAGAGCGAACACTAGAGAAATGCACCGTTTTAATGCGCGCAACGTAACCAATTAAAACGTCAAGATGAACGGCCGAATGATAGTCGTTCGACATTTTTATCGATTTGATTATATTATGTGTCAGCTATAAGATTGACAGACCAATGTTAAACGCTCTGCACAAAGACATAATTGTATATTTATAGACTATTTATTTGAACATAAAAGCTTTGAATGCATCATTGGTGTGTTTTTTTTATTTTACTTCGTTTTTTTATATTTTCAACGGTTTGGCGGCTAGGATTGTGAACAACGTGCACTTAATGCAAAGGATGTAAATGTAAAGAGAGTTGTCGAATACTCGTACACACAGCATACTTTTGCTTTGCGGTCAGTTTGTGCATTTTGTCGTTATGTTTATGCTGCTGTTGCTGCTGCAACATGAATAATCTGTTGTTCGTGTTGATGAATTGATGTGAAGAAAAAGAGATGAAAAAAAACCTAGATACATTCCATCGAATGATACAAAATCAATGTTAATTGTTGAAATATTCAATGTATGTATGGTAGAATATCGACAATCAGCCACAATTTGCACCAATCAAATATTAATCGTATATATTGTTTTAAGTTTTTGACCTTTCACAAATTGCTATTTGCACTAAAACTTGTCGCATATTTTCGCATAAAAGAGGACTAAATTGTTACGCTGTCATGGAATTCGTGGCAATTGTGTCGCTATAATTTTTTTTTCTCTCTTCATCTCTTTACTCTCTCACACTTGTCTCCTCTCTTCTCATATCGGAGACCAATTTTCGTTATGATTACCGGCACCCGTCAATAAATTCTATAAAATACAACATAGAGGTTCTTTTTTTGTGTTCTAATTGTTTTTCGATCCATGTAGAATTATTGCAATAACACATAAATCAGACATTGGTGCGCATTCCAAAACTGGTCGTCAGTTGAAACGTGAAAGTCGATAATGCCAAGAAAATATATTGCTCAAGTTGTTTCGAATGGTTTGAAACAAGTAAGTAAGATCGTGTAAAAAAGAATTGCTCCAACACAAACAAAAAAACAAGTAGAAAATTAAAAAAAAAAATAGTTTATTCAAAATTTCATATAATAATGGGTCAAAGTAGCATACTGAGCATACGTGCGCTTGCTGTTATCGATTTATGAAGCGAAATAAATTATTACAATTTAAATATGTGCATAACAGTCATAACAAAACGTGTGTGCGCCAAGTGTGTGTGTGTGTGTGTGAGAGAGAATATACCGTGGCCAATGAATTGAGAGATCACCTGAGCACAGCCAATATAATAATAATCGCAACTGAACGGATTCAATGGCATGTTGTGAATACGTTTAAACATTTGACATGATCGCGAAAGAGAACAAGAGGAAAAAATCGTGTGTATATTTACTTAAAATATTTCCAATGATTTTTTTTTGGTGCCTGTATTCTTTATTAGTTAATTGTTCGCAGGTAAAAATGTGTTCAAATTAAGAATGAGAGGATAGAAAAAAAAAACTGAAATTAAACGAAACCAGTAGCGCCAGCAACAAAAGTGATTTAAATGAAGTGCTCAAATCTATCACATTACCGATAGATTCTTTCGTTTTTCTTCATTGGCGTATAAAAAATGGCATCCAGGCGCTACTGTCGGCAAAAATATGCTCATAATTAATAATACGAAATTGTTTGTTCTGATTTAAAATTAAATGCGCCTTCTATGAAACGAAATACGCAAAGAAGATAAATTTAATACAAATGTTTTGTTTGTGGTAGTATAACCGTTGTTCTGCTTCTTTTTTTTCATCAAGCAATGAGGCATTCCATTTTCGATCAGTGGCCAATGAAACGTCGTTTGTCATTGGCCGATTTGTTTTCTTACATTCTGTTTATCATGCATATTAGTATGTTGAGCGCCGTTTCTTTTTTTTTTTGTTGTTGCTTCTTTTGCATCATTCTAACGACACAGACATACGAAGGGAGCACAAGAATAGAACCGTTACCAGCTTTATAAATGGCCTGGGGCGATTAAAATATATATTGTATGAACTATTTTCAATCTCATTTTCTAGACAGTATTTTAAACACCATTTGAAACACATATACAAACCATTCCATATATATATTCTATGCGTATCTTTTGCCAGCACGCTTCAATTCTCATCAAATATCGATGGATGTGATTGACGGAATATTATCTCCTTAATTCTGTATTTCAAATTGTTTCTATCAAAAATCAAAGTCGCCTAACTACGGCGAATGATAATCACAATCGGCTTCCAATTACATGGGGCCAGTGTGTACGTGCCTTGGAAAGATTTCAACTTCCATGACTAAATCAACAATCATTCGTGGCAGATAAAAAGAAACTATCATCAACGACACAACAAGAATCGATTTGAATCGTAGTAGTCTATCACGATGTCATAAATTATCTATTGCAATTAATTGAGTAATTAAAAATTGATGCATATACATTGAATTTGGCTTGTGCTTGGCAATTTAAATGTCCGCATTGCTTTGTTCAATTTTTTATTCTTGTTCTATTCCTATGTGGCGTACTAATTCCACTCATGCAGTGGAGATGTGCGGGCCAGTTTCGTTTTTCTATCAATGGATAAAGAACAATTTTGCTAAAGTTGTTCTCTATCTATCTACCTTAATATTCAGATATAAAGCAAGAGCAAAAGACAAGGAAATTGTTAGAAAATGAGTTTGTTTTGAATAATTTATTGCTTGAATTGATTAACGGAAAATGTGTAATGTGTCTGTCTTTCACCGATATGGATAAATGTTCAGCGACAACAAATACAGATAGAAATGCATCTCTGTCTTTTGAAATGTATTGAATAACATAAACTGTTGTATGCAAAGTTTTGTAAGTTATTGTGACATTTTTACTATAGAAAGATATCGTGTAAAATTCTGTTGTCCATGCCGTATTCAATTTGCTGACCACACAATTGCAATTGCCTATCAACAACCTTCGATGTGCACAATATAATCGATCGGCTAGGCATAGAATGTGTGGCGCGGACGCGCGCACTCTCATCTGCAATGCAAACGAATCATATTTTACGTACATTTCTGCCCAATGCATTCAATACAGAATGGCGGGGCTCATGTAATAGCAGAGGGTTCAGATCATATTTCACATGTACACACAGATAACGATTGCAATTGATAGATCCATCTTAAGCATTGGCTAAAGACCTCTTCATTACCAATGTCATTTATACAATGTGTGCGATCGTTTTGGTTGAGAAAACCCACGTTCAATGTAAATAATGCCTAACTATACGTTGAAATTCTCTCATTCATGCTCTGTGTGTTGTTTATGCTCTTCTCATTCTTTTTATGCACAAATTTGCATTAATTTTAAATCAATGGGGCGTTTTTTATTGTATAAGATCATAATTAAAAGGTTCCAATTAGATTTGGAACGGCCCGAAGACGTACCACATCGTTAAAATGCTAACTGTCCAGACAACGATGCCGATAGAAATGGGCTAGTGAAATTCGGTTTTTCTATTTCGCGCGCATTCGTGAAAGTATGAAATTAATTCAATTTTACAATTGAATAGATATTATATACACATATACAAAATGGTCAAATGTGATGACTTTGATTATTTTATTATTTGATTGGTTATTTCAACAATCATTCATAAATTTATGAAAATCATCGTCAAAATTACCGAATCTCGTGATCGTTTTCTAAGCATGCTTCAGCATGTTGAATGGATATCGAGAAAAAAAATTATATATTAATTATTATTCTCTCATTTTCACACTTCGCCACGATGAAAGAACAATAGATTCTTCGAATGAAAGCCGAGAAAAATGAGATCAATTTGATGAATATATAGCGACACGATCATTTACACTACAATTGCGCTTTAATTGACTAACGTTCACGACTTATGCTCTTCTCATTTCATTAATCAGTTTGGGACTTTGCGTGTGCTTTTGCTTTATCGTTTCGGGGCATTCATTTTCCCCTTTCAATCTATTTGCATCTTTGCTCGTGTATTTGACTATATTACTAATTACAAACCGTTTTTTTTAAGTGTTTTGAGCACATATTTCTTGGGCCGATTTACAGTAATTACAACAATATGCTTCAGCATTTGAAAAAAAAACCGTAATTAAATAATAACAAAGAGTAGAAAAAAGAGCAATATTTCCGCAGGCGTCAGCTGTTTTGGACCAAAATAAGTAGGTTAGGATCTTAATAGACTCTTGTTGACAACGCCATAAATTGTCGATTAAATTTTACATGCAAGTTGTAATGTTCTATTAATCTGCCACTCTTCTTTCTCTCTTTCTCTTTCTGCGGCTGAAAATGAAAGAGAGTATTTAGTAAATGCTTTTTACCCTGGAACGGTTTCACAAAAGCGCGATGTTCTTCAATTTAATGAAGAAGAAAATGATCGAACGAGAAGAAGAAAATGTTTTTCAATTCAATCGTAAAGTCCATTCAACTGCAAAAACATCGATTAGCTCGATGAAACATGATTTTTTATTGAATGAAAAATGTAAAGCGCAAAGCACGAAGTTTTCAGACGATGGAAAAGGAAGCTTCTGTCGGCAAAAGAGCGGAACTTAAAAGTAAAATCACTTGGAGTTGGCGCGGCGTTTGAAAGAAACGATGTTGTTATTTCATTTCTTCATTTTTTTTTTCAACATCTGTTGCTCGTGGTTAATGTTTTCATATTTTTCGTGTTCGCTTCACGAAATGCAGACGAAAAAAAAAAACACTAATTAAATGATCAGGCAATAGAATAAACGTTTTTTTTTATAAATGCAAAACTACTCACCTGCATGTGAATTCATTTTCGCCCAAACACATTTCAAAGCAATCCTGTCGAGAATGTGCCGTTGTACTGCGTTTTGTAAAACCGTTCAACTTGAAGTTTTGTACGCGATCAATGCACCAAGCACGCGAACATGGTCGAACGCTTAAACATGACTTTTGTGCATAAATGGTGAATACGGGGAATTGTGATTTAGTTAATGCACCTGAAAATACAAATCAAGAAGAGAAAAAAAAATCTGATTAGAAGAATAAATATACAAGCTTATACACACTCTCTCTTTCTCTCATGTTTACAATGATAAAAGTCAGTTGCAGAGGGAAGAGCAAAAAAAAAACGAACAACACTTGTGATGAAGCATAACAAACAAAAACTCACATGAGGCGCACATGCTACTGCAAGAAATTCAAAAAAAAAAATCAAACAACACAAGCTCAATATTGCTTTTATGCAGACGGGAAATGAAATCGAAAGAAAAATCAATTTGGATCTGAACGATGAAAACCAGCGATTTCTTGTTGAGCGCTGGTGCGTTAATTTTTTGCGATCAAGAACATATATATGTATTAGATTCTCGTGCCATTTCAATGCCATTTTTATTTCAATTAAATATACGTAATGTCGGTAGAAATGATTTGCCCGTTATTTTAATGAATGAGCCGTGATTGCAGATATTGGCGTTACTTTCAATTTAGTTTCAACTGTTGTTATTTTTTGTTCCATTCTACGTTCAGTAGTGCAGTAATAATGAAATCCCTTCAGAAGTTGATGGATTTATAATTATTTTTTATATCATTGTTGCCAATAGTTTACGTTTTCATACCAAAAAGGAAGTCATTTTCAGTGTTTTTCTATTTTGGAACTGATGATCAAAAAGTGTCAATGCACACAAGTATCAGAAACCTCAAGTATAGAAATATATTGAGCTGGGAAAAGCCAACGGATGGAAAAACATTTATTTGATCATAAAAATGTTATGTTGCCGCTGCTGCTGTTGTGGCCGTTGTTCATTGGCCGTTGTTCATTTTTTTTCATCGGCGAACGCTATGGGTTCGCAATGTTATCAAAAATGTCCATTTTGTGGCGCTGTGTAATGTATAATACTTTAAGCGATTTTAGCCTACAGTCTAACACCATTCAGAACATTCTTCTTCTTTTTTTTACTACGTCACACTGTCGAATTATATTGTGAATAATTTTCTATCAGCCACAATCGTGTAAATAAAATCAAACAGCAACGACAACGAATAGCTAAAGTACAGCGGCTGAATGCAATACAACATAATGCACACACGGGTGAACCAACAAAGAGAGGAAGAATGAACGAAAAAGAAAGAATGAACAAGAAAAAATGAATGCAAGTAACTTTTATTTATGAGCACCTTCGCCCATAACTCATTTTGCTGTCGTATATTTTCCTAACACATATCAGTGCACCAGTTGATAGTGATGGTTTTCAATACGGGAACAGAGAAAAAAAAATGCATTGATTTGAAAAACGCCAATTGAAAAATATCCAAATCGAAAGAGAGCATAAAATACACACACACACACACGTATAAACCAGAGTCAAATGCAGTGGGAAAAACGGAATTAGACAGTCGCAAATAAAATTTACGATGGGGTGGAGTGTTGAGATCGAAATAGATACCAAAAACCCGCCGAACGATCTATGATCTCGAATATATAATATGCGGGCTTCGAATTCATTACACCTAACGCTACAATTTTTTGTTTTACTAGAGTAGGCAAATCGACGATCGCTCGCTCGCGCCACATATATACGACGGCACACATCGAAGAGAAGCGAATAAAAAAAATATCAAGCACACACATTTTTGTGCATAGACACATTTTGATCAAAGATCGCAAATTATTAATATTGACCACGCTTTTAAATCATGTATCATAAATCATCGGTAACTCTTAGGTGAGCGTGTGCGATTTGAATTTGTCAGTATTTGAAATAACAAATTGTGTGAATGTAATATGTTGCACACTATACGTGTATACATAATATATGTAAAATCTAATATGAATGTGCCATGGCAAAGGAAATGGCCTCAGATTATTAAAATTATCACCTAGTTTTGTTTTTGCAAAGCGGTTGTGGTTTTGGTTACTCGTTTTTTTTTTCAGTTTCTTTTGCAAGGCAAACAGTGACGCCATAAATTACATTATACGCACTCCATAAAATAGCCGCTTTTCGATTTGGAAGTCGTGGTGTGCATTTTATTTTTATATTTTGCTCGATTTCCGTGAAAAATGTTGTATGTGTGTATGCGGTTATGCACGTGGAAAAATATATTTGCACACACTGTCATGATAATGATAAGGCCGTACGAATGGAATATTCGTAACATCCCATTTTCAAAAGTATCGCATTTGCTCTAAGAAGCGTTGCATTTTCTATTTGTTTGCGTTCACCCACCAACCTAAGGATAATTAAAATTCTCATTTTATTCTCATAAAATTATCCGTGCGGCGCTTCGGAATGGCCGCAAGATGGTTTTAAATCAAAATCAAAACTACCAAAAGCCAGAGTTCATATGTCGTCGATGTGTGTGTGTGTGTGTTGCCACAGTCAAATCGTCGACGATGATAAAGCAAGAGCGAATGAACGAAGGAACGAAATGGAGTGCGAGTAATGATCGTTATGAATTCTGGGTGGGTTGCCACACATTTGTCATAATTGTAATTACAAAAATTGTGTAATTTTTATTATGATTATTAGTTCGTTTTTTTTTCATCATTATCATCATCGTATTATATGCATACCTGGTAATTTATCAGCGTTCGATGAGAATAGTACACACAATCCAGTTTCATAGTTTACAGCACCGCACGATTCATTGGCTTGACAAGCTTCCAAGCAATCAGTTAACATAAGAGTTCCGGGCATCGATTCCAGCAGTTGTTCGGGAGCCGAAAAAACATAACTGAAACAGAGAATATTTATTTTTCTTCATTCATAGATCAAATGGAATTGAACCAATAATCCTAATGACTAAGATTTAAATGTTGCCCTATTAGTGTTTTACTTAGAACGTTTTTTTCGATTTTACGTACCCAGTTATAATTTCAAATCCAATCATATCGGGATCACATTCGACAGCCTCATTTTCACCACTTGATACTGAATTATCAGCTAATGATGATGATACAGCAGATGGTGATGGCAAACTGTTTGATTGTCCGCCGCTCATTTGGGATGGTAATGATGCGATTGCCGCCGCACTAGCTGGTTTCTCTGTATTTGATAGTGCTTGAGCTGATGGTTGTTCATCAAGCATTGAGATAATGGTTGTTGCATCATTTGATGTGGCAAGCGCAATATTATCACTTGGCGGTGCATCGGCTGCATTTGCTATTGGCAAATCTATTTTTGATTTTCGTCGTATGCCATTTGTCAACGAACTTGATAACAAGACAATTAAAAGTAAACTTGCTGCTTTTGGCCACATTTTTTTCTATATTTTATTTTATTTCGTTTTCTTTGTATTCAAAATCTGAAATGAAAAAAAAGGGAAGAGAAAAACAATCAATTAAAAAGATGTTACTACTGTTTTAAGAAAAATGCATTCATTAGCAAATATGTGGATTGACTTTTAATTAGATAAATGATTGGAGGAATTAGTGTTTTTCTTTCTAAATGTTTTTAAAATTGTTCAAATTAGTTATGCCAGTGGTCATGCGGTCGAGCTAATATTCTTCATATGAATTTATCTCATCGAAATTAATCGCATGGATAAGCACAGCTTCTTTGGTGGCGTTCCATCGATGAATGAAAGAAAAACTAATTGCAATCGGTTATTTCTATCTCCTTTCTCTCTCTGTGTGTGTGTGTGCGTGTGTGTGTGTGTGTCTCACTTCCACCTCAAGTCAGTATCGATTTCAATGAACGGGAACAATTCCAAGTATGTTTCCGAGATTGGTCATTTTTAGCGTAAAACGAATAAAAATAACATCGACTCTAAGTGCAGTGCAATGAAAGAAAAAAAAGAACTCTCAATCAAGAGACAATTTACGTGTTGGTTGCATACTTTGTACACATTTAATCATCTTTGATCATTCTTTTGCTCCCTATTTCGTTTTCTCATTCATGTTTTTTCATTTACGCGTACACAGTGGCGCAAAAGTGCGGAAAACTGTACGCGAGCCCGCAAATGCATCACGTGCGCATAATAGAGATACTTTTCCGTTGTATTTTCCGGATAATGGTTCTTAAAATGTGTTCAGCATAGCAAATGTATACGTTCAAGCCGAGCGTATGCTACGCAAAAACGCAACACAGAAAATTAGAGCACATAACAATAAAACAGTTAGAAGTGCAACAACAACAACAACAACAAAAAACAGAAGAAGTGATGAAAAAAAAGTTGTGCAACGTGGTTTGAACTTGTGCAAACAACTGCAATATTGCCGCTAAATGCATAGTATGATATTGAATTTAAAATACAAATATATATATATATAAAGAGATGGAGAAAAAAATCCACGGTGCGAAGACACGCTATATCACCGCGCTTTGATTTTATGTTTCGATATGAATTAGAATAAATGTGTACCGCATGCAGTTACCACGTTACTGACTTCAATTTTTATCTCGAAGAGCTTATTGTATTCCAGGTCTGAATCGTGTACACCATGACACCATGTTTCACGCATTCTCTTTTGTTCATGCGAGAACTTGTAAATGATCCAAGCAAATACACATAGAGAGAGACACTTGAAATAACAACAATAATAATGATAGCCAGAAGACCAAACATCTAACACATAATTTTTTTAAAATTGTGAATAGATGCTGCATTCCGCAATAATAGCACTTCAGCCAGCATACCAACAAACACTTTTAATCTCTCAAATAAATAAATCGCAATTGTCCGAAAAGATGAAACTTATCTACTGAAATTTATTCCGAGTTTGTTATGCTCGCTCAACTCGAAACAGAATGGACGTTGATGACGACTCGATATAGGATCTCTCGTTGTGTGCTTCTTATATATGGACAAAGTCGCCACGGTTTTATTCACTTCATTCCGATCGAAAAATCATATTGTTGATACTGATTAAAATCAAAATGACAGACATACACTATGACAAAGGTGCTTAAACTGAATGAAATCTTGAGTTCTCTTCTGCAAACGAAATGAATAGACATTTGTTGTCATGTTTTCTCTTAAGTTCTTTTACATATGTATGTGTTTTTTTTGTAAATGATATGTTTCGAATGGTTGAAAATCCATTACAAACTTGAGTGGGTATAAACAAAAAAAAGCGATATAATAAATATGCATGCATTTCAAAATGTACTTGTTATGCTTGACGGTGAACAGAAAAAAATTGTCAAGAGATTTTTTTTTCTTCGGATAAATGTGAATTTTTGACTCAAATTCAAATAGATCCCTTCTGAACATAATAAGTATACATATGGAATGTTGTTTACAAAATAAATATTCATTCGAAGATAGTTGTCACGTTGTCTATGTTGCGTTGCTCTCATGTCCGCAAAAATATAACGACAAATATCTTGAAATGAAATACCACAACGCGTGGAAAATCCGTTTGACAAATAAAACATCTCTTGTCGAAATTATCACGTTTCCATTAAAAGTAGATTCGAGCACGTGCCAGCAAATTGTCTGTTGACCGTTCGTCGATCGACCAGAATTGAATGAAAAAAAAAAGATGTTCTATGGCCAAATAACTTAGATAGTGCATGAACCGTTCATATCAAAAACTATCAAAATGCACATTCGGCATTTTGAATATTACGTACGTTTTACTCGCTGTTCAACCCGGAAAACGTACATTCCACCTATATATATATATCATTATGTGAGGAAAATAAAACGTGATGCTTATACGATATTAGATCGAAGTGGATTTTCCGTGTCGACCACGTATCTGGACGAGGACATATTATCAATGCATAATGCATTTCAGACGCTTTTTTCTTTCAATGAAAAAGAATCGCAACCATTTTCCAACATAAATATTTGAAGAGTACAGTATGTAACCGTTTCTTATAGAGTGTGTGTCTGTGTTTGTTGCGCTCAGAAACGTTACGTAATTGCAACACTCGAATCTATTATTAGGTACTTTTTTATCGCACCTCACACAACAGTGCACTGTTGACGTGTTCTATGTCTCTGTTTTGTTTCGTTCAATTGATGCATATCCACAATGCGGATGTATAGCACATGGAAAATATAGTACAAAAGTACATCATCCGCGTACTAAAACACACCACACAGTAATATTGAACAATCATTTTACATTCTACAAGTGGAACGAAAATCAGTCAAACAGTTTTATATGAACACGTAATATTTGCACGATTTTTTTTCTCGCTTATCCTCTGTGTTTCCGTCTCTCCTCTCTTTCTCTCTCTCACACAAACTCTCGTTCAAGTATGTATATCATTTGTTTTGCGATTTTATGCTGTTTGAGTTTTATTGCTGTGAAATGCAAATTTAAATTGGTATATTCACAATTAGAAGCGAAATTAAGACACAAAATGCAATAAAAACCAATAAAACATTATATATTCAATTGGTTTACATTATTTAAAAAGAAAAGAAAAGAAAGAGTGATGCCTTTGCAAATAACATGAGAAATAAATGTATATTTATGGATGTGAGTGCATAACAAATGATTCAAATTGAAATTGATTACCATACAAACAAAAAAAAAGTCCGAAGAAGACGGAACGGGTAATAAAACATGAAACATTTTCGGTTTGTGTGTCGGGAATTTTTTTTTCTTCCTCCTTTTCGTCTTTTTTTCTCGTTTCGAGCCATTCAACTATACGTTTTAGATCATTAACAACGGTAATTCGGTATTTTTCGTATTTCACTAGCAAAAACGAGGGAAAAAAAGTATAAACATTCAAAACAGCGGCAACAACAGCATTCACTGCAAATAAATGCATGAGCATGTGATGGGTATCTTTGAAGTCAATTGATAAGAACCATATAGAAGATTTGTTCGGTGCAATGTACAAGTACATCGCATATCATCGCTTTTTTGTGTAATAATCAAATCAGCATCTTAATCTAACATTCAAAACTATTTACAAAAATTCAATTAAATACAGACCAGAAGATGCCATCTACCTGCCAACGTTATGGAACAACCGCAAAAATTTGCAACGATAAAAAAAATTAAATTCCAATCCCATGCCCGATCAATGAAAATTCTCTCCAATGTTATGTGATTCTCTTTAATTAGAAGCAAATCCAATTCCATTCGATGTTCAAAATGGCGGGTAGGAATATCAAAAGCAAGCACTCAAAAAAACTTACTCCTAGCGCCACCAACCTATAAGTTGTGTATTGTGAGAGCCAACTTCAGACAGATTGTATATATGTGACAACTATTTTTTGACATTTGTAAAACCGGCAATTAGGTGTTTGTGTTTCAACTATAAACATTAAACATGCGAAAAGTAATTTTGCTTTTTTTTATTAATCATCATTTTACTGTGACTTTTTTTCTTAATTTTTACATTTTTATTTTTTTGATTCATTATTGGTTGTTTTTTGTGCTTTACTTTCATTTTTTCCCTGAAATTTAGAAGTGTGGAATGTGCGAAAAATCGTTCATTCGTTTACAAACTTTGCGGGAACACGTCGAAAATGTTCACCAGCCAATGAAGAAAAAATTCAAATGCCCGAATTGCGACATATTTTGCTCGCACATAATCAGAAGTTGCCGAATCAGCTTTTGCCGAATCAGCTTTTGCCGAATCAGCTGTTGCTGAATCAGCTGTTGCTGAATCAGCTGATGCTGAATCAGCTGATGCTGAATCAGCTGATGCTGAATCAGCTGATGCTGAATCAGCTGTTGCCGAACCATGATCTATTATCTGTGAACGTGTGAATAGATCAATCAACAATTTTTTCAAAATACTTACATTTGAAGAAAATGTGCATTTAAATTGTGCGGTCTCGAGCAAAATATGTCGCAATTCGGGCATTTGAATTTTTTCTTCATTGGCATGAACATTTTCGACGTGTTCCCGCAAAGTTTGTAAACGAATGAACGATTTTTCGCACATTCCACACTTCTAAATTTCAGGGAAAAAATGAAAGTAAAGCACAAAGAACAACCAATAATGAATCAAAAATATAAAAATGTAAAAATTAAGAAAAAAAGTTAAAATTACTTTTCGCATGTTTAATGTTTATAGTTGAAACACAAACACCTAATTGCCGGTTTTACAAATGTCAAAAAATAGTTGTCACATATATACAATCTGTCTGAAGTTGGCTCTCACAATACACAACATTGTTGAATGAATACTTCTGATATTTCGACTTGTTAAAATGATGCATTCACGTTTTTTATTGCCGATTAATATTTTTTTATGAATAAATCATTTTTTTTAAATATTGGTAATCATAATATTCATTAAATTAACCACTAGAAACATATTTGTGGATTCATTTCGTTTTGATTTTAGAATAGTAATCGATACGAAAGTAGATGGCGGTAGGATGTA